AAGTGCCATGAGCAGTTGTTYCTTAAACCACCAGGGACAGTGACTCCACCACTTCCCTCTGCAGCCCATTCTAATATTTAATCACCCTTTCACAAAAAGGGTGAAAAAATTCTTCCTGATGTCCAACATTGACCTTCCCTGGTGCAAMCTGAGGCTGTTTCCTCTCATCCTCAATACTATTATCTTTCCCAGAGGTGGCCAGCTTGAGTTCTAGCTGAGGTTTCACCTTCCTAATTTTCTCTCTACATGACCTAATGACTTGATTTGCCTGCCCCTTGATTTGCCTGCCCCTTCTTCCAAAGGCCATAAATTCTCTTATTTCTTTTTTTCCCGCTGGGTTCCCTATTCAGTCAGTCTGGTTTTCTTTCCCACTGACTCATCTTTTGGCACATAGGGGCAGCCTGCTCCTGAGCCTTTGAGACTTCCTTCTGAAGGTATGTCTAGTCATACCCCTTTGTTTTTAAGGGAGGCAGTATGACACTAGCAGCTTCCTCTTGAACACAGTCAGATAACTAAACAAAATATTCAGTGTCTGATTGGGACCGTGGGATACCAAATACACTTTCATACCAAATACCTGYAAAACAAAAGCAAATCTTTCATAGATTGATAGTTGCAGAACCAGAATATTATGAGCCCTTACTGAACAGGAACAGAGAGGCATGAACTCAGCTGCAGGCTGTCTGCAGACCCAGACAGGAAGCACTAACTCAGCTTATGGTAAATTATTGGGTTTTAGATTCACTCTTAACCCCCTGACTTCAGATCTGCTATTGTAATATGACAGGGAAAGGCAGTTACTCTAAATATAAACAAACTCTGTTTTAGTGATGATTCTTGTTGTRAAGCCTAAGGCTGTCGTGCATCCTCAGAAATGTCATTTCCACCCCACTATCCTACTCCCAATAGCCCAAGCTGGTTTTTTATTTTACTAGTTGCACACATAGGCATTTTTAAAATCCCAGACAGAGCTTCTCTGCACAAGGAGCCCTGTTTTTCATGCCAAGGGCATTGTTGCCTTGGGGGCAGCCACACCCTGCTGACCCCTGGGTGAAACACAAAAGGAGCTGGCARTTTCAGGCCATCTCCAGTGGGGTGGGGGCCCAAAGCTGCACTTGTTTGTCTCAGGTGTGAGAAGAGCCAGGRTGCACTGGGGATGTAGAGCCTTAGAGTCAAACATGGAGCACTTGTTCCCTAGGCAGGTACCTCTCAATGAGTCCTCTTTTCTTTGTTTTCACACAGGATATCTAGGGTGTGTTGTTTCTCTGCCCCWATTTTTCTTCTGGGCTCAAGACATATTTCAGAGCTCCACTTTCCTGGCCTTCATTTCCTCTCTGTTTTTAGTCAGGCATCTCCACTTACATGACAAGCACCAAGATCTGCTTGCAGCTAGAGTTCAAAACCTGCATTTTGGAGGTGAGAGTGTTCAACATGGATTTGTGGGTTTCCATATTTTTAAACAGAGGAGGCCATCAAACCCATAGCTTACATCTTGGACGAATTCTCTAACCTTCAGTACCTCTCATACAACTTGGTGTTTATTTGGATTTTTTTTTTAAAATATTCAAAAAAAAAAAAATCTTGATCCCTGCACAATTTTGTAAGTATAATATTGGTGTCCACCTCCACAGAAAGTTATGGGCAATGGTTTTGGCCATTCCACCCTCAGATTACGGGTTATTTTTAATCCCATCCTGAGATTTGTAACTGTTTTCCAAGTGTGGGGACAGGGAAACCAAGCCCAAAGCTGTGTTCCAAATACCACTCCTGGGGTCTAAAATGAAATATTGCAAAATATTTGCCCACATGCTTTGCCTAGTTTTTTTACCACTGACATTGGCCTTTAAATTAGCTTTCTCTAGTCCTCATGGTTACTCCTGAGATAAAAACAGCCATAAAGACATTAAGGAGAGTTTTCACTCATGACTCAAATATAGTCTATTTCTATTACCTTAATATTGAAGAACTAATACTTATTCTAGGGTTTCTTTCCAGCCAGGAATGCGAAATACCAAACCCAAATGCGGATTGAGCCATGTCGCATTATTGCTTGGGACCAGCAGATGGCAACCAGCCATTGCTGTGTCAAAGGTAAGTGGGATTGTTCAGGTAGGGGATTTATTAAGTGACAKCTTGAGCAGCACAGCTTTGCTACTCCACAGAAGGAGAAAGCAGAACTTGTATCTTTACTCCTTCTTRTCCCTCTCACTTTTGAAAGGGAGCAGTGAGTCGCCCTTTTACATAGTGAGTTTCGACAAATTATAATTGTGACAATTCATTTGACTAAAATACCTTATGGCTGCTCCTTACTGGTAATATCATCAAAAAAAGATAGTAAAAAAAAAGAACAAGATTCTGGAAAAAATTCCAAAGCAATCAGACTGCCTTATCTTCCACAGGAATAGCCTCAAGTTCTTATCATTATTAATTAGATTCCTTATTACTTTAGGTGGAAGCMGTTAGAACTGAGTAACAATGAATCTGGAATCGGAAATAGACTTCCCTCTAGGAATTGACTGAGGCTATTGACATACCAGTTAATTAGTTCTGGTTATATGAGTGGCCTTACAGAAATTTTTTTGACATGAACAAGTTTGAAGAAATTAAATTTTTTTCCCCTACAACATTAGATTAAAAGTTACTCATTTCTAGGAGCAAGAACAGTAAAGTTTTGAAAAAAATCCTTTCCAAGAACCTTGCATTTACACTTCAGAAAAGAAATTCCTTCATTAAAAAGGAGAAGAGTTAGGGAAAGATATCTATAGCCTCACTAGAAGGATATTTAACTACCTGTAGTCATATTAAATTTTCTTTTCRCATTGGTTGAACCACATTTTGTGCATTTGTTTTCAGTAAGGATTGGTATAGATGATGCACGTGTTGATGTACACAGAATTAGAGTGTCTGCAGTGCAGAAAAAAACCAGACCTTTAGACCTCTGAAGGATYCCAGCATCACCTTACAGTGTCATTTGCAATTTAAAAAAGAATACACTACAAATAGCTAAACCAGACAAGAAGAGCACTGTCACTTAGTAAAAGCAAACCAAAATACTCTGCATTACTGGGATGCCTCCCTCCAAGTTCTCAACCACTTTGCAAACCATTAACTTGAAAGGTATTAATTTGCACCCTTGCAGTAGGAGATGTATGTTTATTCTCAGAACTCACACCTTGGCTGGGAAGGCTTAAAAAACTGATTTGGCAGATAAGGTATAACCTTTTGGTTTTGTTACAGCTACTACTTGATCAGCTGTGAATTTCCAGAAATGACTTYGAAATTAGGAGAAAACCAGCTGGCATCCATTTCCTAATGAATACTAGTGAGGTGATATTAAGAATAGCTTCTGAAATCCTTTACAATACCCATCGACCTTTYTCATTATTTCCTTAATCTAATAATAACATTTATACTGTAACCTCCCCCACTTTTTAATGAGATTTGAGAGGTTTTTTTCTTCTTTAGAGAACTTAAAGGCCTTCAATCTGATGATAAAATTTTAGCAACTTTATTTGCCTTGACATGAGAAATTATGTTACTTGTACATGTTGTTTTTCTTGTGGACYCATGTTAAGGGTCCAAGAGTTATGTTGGACTCCTGCAAAGCTAGTCAGAGTTTTTAGTGGTTATGTTTGTTTGTTTGTTTGTTTGTGGTTTTGTTTTGGTTTTGTTTTTGTTTGCTTGGTTTTTTGGTTTTTTTTC